AACCCAGGGAGGGGATGAGGGGGGTGGGGGGCAGTGGGGTGAAGAGGAAGAGGGTTTGTAGGGGTTATGGGGTGGGACGTGGCCCCGTTGGGGGCTGAAGAGGGGAGAGAGACCCATAGAGGGGCTATGGAGGGGACACAACCCCATAGGGGTTCAGGGGACAGGACACAGCCCCACTGGAGGGGACACGACCCCATAGGGGGGGGTTAAGAAAGCCCCACAGCAGTTAAGGAGGAGGGAACAGCCTCCCAGTGGGGTTATGGGGGCAGATATGGCCCCACTGTGATTACAGGGGGGTAAACAGCCCCTCTGGGGGCTACAGGGTGGGTGATATGGTGACCCCAATGAGGGAGACACTGCCCCATGGAGGGGGGACACGGCCCCATGGAGATGGAACAGGGACAGGAGGAGGGGGGACAGACTCCAGTATGGTCACAGGGGCACAGCCCCATTAAAGACACAGGGATGTGGGGACAGAGAGGGGGACACAGCCTCATTTGGGGGCACAGCCCCGTTAAGGACATAGGGACGTGGCTCCACTAAGGACAGGGATGGGGACAACACAGCCCCATTGTGGGGCACAGCCCCACTGAGGCCCCACTGGGGACAAGGATGGAGGCACAGCCTCATTTGGGGGCACAGCCCCATTAAGGACACAGGGATGTGGTCCCACTGGGGACAGGGATGAGGACACCACAGCCCCATTTGGGGGCACAGCCCCGTTAAGGACACAGGGACGTGGTCCCACTGGGGACAGACATGAGGACACCTCAGCCCCATCTGGGGGCACAGCCCCACAGAAGCCACGGCTCCACTGGGGTCCACGGGGACCAGACTGGGGTCACACAGCTGCCCTCCCCCCCCACACCCCCTCCCCACTTACCTGCACCTCCACCTCCACGCAGAGGCGACGGATCACCAAACCCCCCCTTTCCCCCAGCCCCCCACCCCCAAAAACCCCCCGGGCCGACCCCGCTGAGGGCTCCCCTGTAGGGTGAGGGCCCGGGGGGGTCCCCGCGGCCCCACATACGTTTTGATCATGGCTTTGAGGGCGGCCCGGCGCTCCCGCTCGGCGAATTTGTCGATGAGGCGGGCGGCCACGGGGGGGGCGGAACGATAGAGACGGAAAAAACGGTGATAATTGCACAGAGCCCAGGCAGCCCGAAGGGACAGAGCGTGGGACACCGCCGGGTCCGCCCGCAGCGCCGGGGTCAGGAAGGCCAGCTCCGTGGTCAGGTCTGGCGAGGAATTAATGGAATTAACGCTAATTAATACCGCGAGGTCGCGCCTCGGTTCCCCCACCCGGCAGGAAGGCGGATATCATGGATTTGTGAGATGTGGGGGCCTGAAGGTGTCGGGATTTGGGGCGGGGGTCCCAGAGGACCCTCAGCAGGGAATTGTGTTGGTTTGGGGTCAGCTTAGGGTTAGCATTAACTCTATTCCTAACCCTAATCCCATCCCTAACCCTAAATGATTAACCCTAACCCTACCCCTATCCCTAACCTCAACCCCTAACCCTAAACCTACCCCTATTATCCCTACTCCTCACCTCACCCACACTGCTGGCTCAGATCCCCCCCCACATTTGGGATGGGGGTCTCAGGACCCCCCCCAACCCCACTCCCCCCCCCCCCCCCCCCAAAGTTCTGGGTTGAACACCCAGCACAGGGCATGACAGGGTGGGGTTACCAGGTTTGGGGTATCAGGGTTTGGGTTACCCCCCACCCCCCTGGATGTCGGGGGGGGTCCCAGCCCCACTCACCCCCCGAGTTCCTGGTGAACATGTAGTACAGCACCCGGTAGGCTGTGAACTCCCCCACGTTGCCAGGCAGGTTCTCAGCATACAACGACTTCAGCTGCGTCTGGCATTGGTTGAACTCCTCGTGGTCACCCTGGGGGGGGCAAAGGGAGGGGTTGGAGGTGTGGGGGGGCTGGAAGGAGGTTTTGGGGGATTGGGGGCAGCTCTTGTGGACTGCTGTAGGTTTGAGGGGCAATAATGGGAGTTCTTGGGAGGATTTGGGGGCGGCTGGGGGGGGGTTTGGGGGGATCCTTGTGAAGGATTCTCGGAGGTTTTTGGGGGGATTTGGGGGGGCTGCAGGGGGGCTGGGCTTCACCTTCTCCAGCGCGATGCGTGCGTGCGTTTCGTACACCTCCACCGTGAGCTCCGTGCGGACGCCCTGAACCTGGGCAGGAGACGGGGGCGACGTCACGGCTTCGGCCCCAAAACGCTGCTGTTTCGGCCCCAAATCCCCCCGGTTTTGCCCCAAACTCACCGTCAGGTCCTGGCGGATGGACTTGAGCTGCTCGCAGGCGAAGGCGTAGTCCTGGTGCTCCCTCCAGTGGGCCTTCACCACCGACAGCGACTTCTGCAGCACCTGTGTGGGGCAGCCCACAGTGAGCCCAGCCCCACAGCGAGCCCAGCCCCACAGCGAGCCCAGCCCCACAGCGAGCCCAGCCCCACAGCGAGCCCAGCCGTCCTGCCCTATAACCCACCTGCAGTGCTGTAACACCCCTCAATTTCTTTTCCACCCCCCAAAACCACCCCTAAACCCACAAGAGACCCTCAGAACCGCCCCCAGCCCCACAAAAGCCCCACCCCAACCCCCAGAATCCCCCCAAACACCACAGAACC